GGGGTTGCCAACACTTTACTGCACAAATGGCGGCAAATTCAAATCTTGCGTTAATTTTGGGACACCCTTTATATATATGTTTAGTAATTTTAAGTAAATAACATCCATTTCTACCAATGTAGATAAACTTTAATCTCGATTTAATTTATTCTCTATTCTTTTCTAATTCTTTATAGGTATAATTATATAGAATTGAAAAAAGTAAGTTAAACTAAAAGATATAATAAAGTTAATAATCTACATATATTGGTATAGAAAACGCCGCGGACATTATCGAGCTTTTTCCAACAGAGACACAAGATATGTCGACACAAGAATCATTCTGTTTTTATCTTTTATTCAATATCGAACGAATATTGATTTCGTATGTGCATCGATATGTGCAATGCTTTACTGGAAGTTGCCCCCTACTAATTGGCAATTGTTCCTAATTATCCTATAAGGGTATAATATTATTTGATATTAAGTAATATTTTAGACATATTCTTAAAATATTAAATGTAACATTTTAAGAATATTGTACTAAAATTATATAATATTAAGTAATATTCTCGAAATATTAATGGAAAGTTATATGTCCACTCCTGATAATATTGCATGATTATTAGAAATAGCATTATTTAATAGTACTGTAATATTGTATAAACATTAAAAAGTATTACAACAAAATTTACTTTAATTTGTAAAACTGTTACAACTGTTTAGTATAAGTATACGTTTAAAGACTGAAAATAAATTTTGGCGCGCAATTATAGAACTGGATATATACTTAAAATCATGCGAAAATCAATGCGTTTTTTTAAGCACAAGATGCAGCATAAACTGATAAGAACTTTTCGTTACTAGATTGTGAATTCAAATTGCACTAAATTAAGAATAATTAATATTTATAAATATTTTAATAATATTTCAGGAATATTAAAATATATAACACCTAGGATATTATAATACAATAGTAGACATATAATCTCTATAGAATACTCTTGTAATATTAAAAAATATAATATGGTATTTTCGAAATATTGTAACTTATTTTAATTCTTTTAATAATATCCATATAACATTCTAGAAATATTTTGCGCTTATATTAGGATAGTATCTATAGACTAGGAGAGTATACATACCTACATATATTTACAACAGCCGCCTTGTATACGTGCAATGCGAGAAAATGCGAGACAGGCATATAATTAAGGATATATTACAGGCACAATTATGTAATTCGATAGAGAGAACCATACGGGGATCTTTTGTTTAAGGATGGAGGATTCTAAACGACGCGTTACTCGCAAGAATTCGCAAGATTGGGAATGGCGTCCTAGGGGATTCAGATCACCCAGAGAAAAGGGGCATCTTCCGAAAGGTAGAAGAGACGAGAATAAGAATATCGTCGGTTCCTCGAATACTATATCGGAAACTGGCGCGGACGGCTCGATGACGGAAGCTCGCATCGAACCGGGCTGGCGTATCAACGATATTCTTTTGGCGGCCAAAGTTCTGCAAAATGCACGACCCTCGCCAAATTATGCCAACGAGGCCGAAATGAGACGCGTTTTTGGCTTAGTATACGACGTTCTGAGATGTGAGATATAGTTTTCAAATGAGTGGTGAGAGCGTATGGAAAACAGTTTTTTTTTTCATCTCTTTTCGTACGCGAAGAAGCTTCTATGAAGCTGTCTTTCCAAGAAAATGCTATGTGCATATTATAAATTGTTACAGTCCGCGACATCAACAGTCACAAACTTCCGTTATAAACTTTGCAGATAAAAATATCTTGAATCGTACACTCGAGGACGGTGGTTTTTGGTATACAAATAATGCTTTGAAACAACGAGAACGAGTAGTCTGGTTACTATTGTACGATATGCAGGGAAGAAAATTTGCCCATCGACGTGGGAGTGCATGCGAGACTCGAGAGAAAGTATTTGAGGTTTGTATACCGTTGCGTTGTGCAATTCCTTTCTTTCCATTTCTTTATATTAATTTTTAGAACCTTGTGTTAATCTTTCGTCTTCTTATTTATCTCGGTGTTTTTTTTTTTTTTTTTTTTTCTATAAATTTGTACAAAAAAGACATTATTTATGCTATAATTTACGCTTGCAGATGCTCCTAGTAAATTAAATTAATCAACATTGGTGCTCAAACATGCGACAATATTGTACCATGGAAATAATATTTTGCTGATATTTGTATCAATTTATAATTTAATTATTCAACACTACCAACGGGGGTATGCTAAGTCAATACTATTTTGTGTGCTGTTTCAGACTGTCGGATTAAAAGATATTGAAGATGCACTTTTGAAAGCAAAAACGCATTTAGCGGCAAGCATCTCACGTCTTCGTATCAGCGATTCAGCCCTCATTCTCGGTTATTTCTCATTTTTAATCTACATAAAAGTTCTTACGAATAGAATGTAGTGCGCCAAATAGAGATTGTTTAATTGTAAAACATTATTGATCGCGCGCGTCAATATTTTATGCACACACGCACGCACATGTACATTTTATGTGTGTATATATATTTATAAAATGCATATTATACATTGTATATTCATGTATATCTAGACGAGCTTCTCCCGTCGCATCTGCGTATCGCGGAAGGAATAAGTTGGACCGATGAAGGCGCGATTGCTTCCGGATGGATCAATACTATGAGAGTGTTGAGTAAAAACGAATTCATAAAGGATATGTCAAAGCTAAAACTTCAACTCGGTAATGATACCGAAACAGGAGAGCTCGATGAGAACAAGTATGTCTTTGATCCAATTTGCCCCAAGATGATTAATTTGCACGATAAGGCACGAGAGAAACTCGCCGTATCAGATTTGGTTCGCGACCATCGATTCATCTTTTTGGTAAATATAATATTTAATTCTCATTTAACTAAAATAACTACGTGAAAAAGACAATTAGTTACACGTACCATCACTGTAAGTATTATGATTGGGTTTTGAAACACTTTTCGGAAAAATTTCAGTTTGATTTCAGTGATTTTTATCTGAAAAATTCATTTTTAGTAAAATTTCAGAAAAATTTCAGCAAAAATTTCGGAGAAATTTCAGAATAATATCAGTTCAGTCTCAACGATTTTTTTCAGTATGTTAACTGAAATTTTTCCGAAATGCTGAAATTTTACCGAAAAGCCTTCCAAAACGTGGAATAATTTCAGAGAGATTTTTTTACCAGTGAAAAGAAGAATTTCTATATATTGTATATTTCATATAAAAATATAAAAGTGAATATCTATAAGCATAAGATGGGAGATTAAAAAATAAATTAATAATAAAAGACATTTATTTAGGAAAGATCATTGTGTCTTGGAGCGGCTACGTTAGCGCAGGCGATACGTGTTGCTCGTCTTTGTGGTCCCGTAGTTCTCACGCATTCGATCGCCCCTCGTCACACGGGTTACTTGGCCGGACTCTTGGCCGACATCGAGGATGCCGGGAGACTGTTAGCTTTCGGTGTTGGAGATCGTCGTTGCGAGTACGAAGCATACCTCACGAATTTAGGCGTCACTTTGCAACAATGCGCAATGTTTTCCGAAAAGTAAGATATAATGGCTCTTTTATGAATTTATCACAATTACTGTTACCGCTTGCCGAAAACATTATTCTTTATCTTTAGATACATTTCATCACCATCGTCCGTAGAATTGGAAAGAGCGACTGTTGTTTTGGCGACTCCCCCGTGTAGCTACACCGGCGTCCGGGACATTGTCGATCTTGCCGTTGCTCGCGGTGGTGACATTAATTTATTAGAATCGTTAACCAGCGATACAGCGGGTGGGATCAAACAGCCCCGCGCTCTTCTGGCCGAACAATTTTCCACGCTCAAGTATGCATTAACTAGACCAAATATACAGTTTCTAATATACGAGGTGCATACAATCTTGCCATCCGAAACTACGGATATGATTCATCAAGTTGTCGAATATGCGAATCAATTAGCTATGGAAAAATACATTCGTGAGCATCTTGTAAGTGGACTTTTTATAGGATATACTTATATCTAAATCGATTGCACGTGCAATTATTGACTGCATTTGCATAATTGAATTATTTATTGTAAACAGGAAAACGTGTCTTTACGTTAATCATAAAATATGATTATAAAACAAAAAGAAATAATTTCAGGCTCTCAACAGTATTTAAAATGAAATTAGTAATAGAGAAAAGCCACTGCAGTTATTGTCAGCGTATACAATTTAAATATATATGTTTAATTTATATCTAATCAATACATAATCCATCTTTATATATTACATCAAATATTCAAACGTTTCGACTTATTTTAAATTATCTTCAGCGATAAAACAATTTTAATAAAGATGACGTACACTAATGAGCCTCTATCTAGTGGACGATGTATATGAGTTTTAAATTTTAAAGCTATTAAGAATGTCCATCTTAACCGCGTTATAATTTATTATGATTATATAATATTACAATTATACATGTATGCGTTATTATGGAGATGATTATTGGCGATGATTCGTCCTAAAAGTATCTTTAAATACATTACATATTTTTTCACGCCCGTATTCACTTAATTTCTAAAAATAATATATATTTGGTTGCCTTACAGCCAAAGAGAAAGACATTATCCAAAGACGGAAAGATTCCAAAGTCGATTAAAACTGATGTGCATAGGCAGGAACAATCGCGAGAACATTGGGAGGACCAATCGCAAATGCAACACGAACAAATGTTTTTGTGCAAGCGAGAGGACGAGGGAGATGAAAAGTTGTTGGATACGACTGATATTGTTGTAAGATCACTCATAAGTATAATATAAGCGCGTCAAATTATCGCTTTAATAATCGATCAATACTTAATTATAAAATTAAATATATCGTTAGATCCCCGATAGCGATTTGTTCGAAGTGGGAACTATCGATGAAATTTATGGCGAAACAAACGAACATATGTTGGATCCAGGCTGTTTCATCGCTGTGATAAAACGGAAGGAAATGATGCAGTTTGATTCGCTTTTCATGATCAAAGTGGCAGAATCAAAAGGACTATTTGGTGATCCTGATAAACAACGAAATCCGAAGCAAAAAACCGAAATACCATCGGCGACAAAACGTCAAACGTTACAAATCAGTCGCAGAGGTTTCAAGCGTATCAAAGTATGTATCAAGTATATACTAACAATAAGTACTTATTAAATACCAGCTCTATCTGATATAAAAGGCGATGACGCATACATTAATGCATACAAGTATATGAGATAAAGACATAATTATTGTTTTTGCGATCAATTGATTTATGACAATTTACGTTTACTATTTCGCTTTGACTGCGTTCAGTAAAAAAAAAAAAAAAACAGCTTTGCAGATGTAAAATTCTTTAACATGCTTGGCTTATTATATATTTTTGGATCTATAGTAAGATATAAATATAACTAAAAACAAAATCAGTCATATTAAAGAACATATTACAAAAGTTGCAAAGTTGCTTCTCTGTTAAATGCAGTCATTAATTACATCGGGATACGTTGACTCATTTCAAGTAGCTACTATCTTTATAATTTATATTTCCGAATGCATAGGTCGAAATAGATCGCGTAGCAGCGCCTACACATGCTTGGATGCTGCGAGCTACGAATAAACGTCAACCATGTCCTCGTCACAGTCGACACATTGTTCGAGATGAAAAGTTATCATCGATGCAAATACGTGAAACACGGAAACGAGACGCACGTCGATGGTGGCGAGATGCAATCACCTTCCTGGTTGATTCGAAAAGTCATCGAAATATTATGAAGGATTCCCAGTTTTATGCGACGCGTTCGGATCCATTTACGCAAAAACCACTATATCCTTTTCACGCGAAGAAAATGCCGTTAAAATGCCATCGTCGTCCTCGACAGAGAAACTTGGCATTCGATTTCATCTAGAATTTAATTTAATCGTATAATTGCGCTAATGCTCCTACAATTGTCGATATTAGAATGTTGATAAATATAATCAGCATGTCCGTAACGTTGAGAGAAAATACCGTAGACTTTTAACTTTCGTATATGCAACACACACACACACACACACACACACACACACACACACACCAAAAGAGATTTATGAATAAAATCCGTATATTATCCTAGAGAAAAAAAATAAATTGCAATACTATACTGTTTAATCATGCGCAGGTAACCAGGACATTTATTGTTGGTTCGATAAGTACTAGCTAGCACATTTTTTCGTTGTGCATATCTTTACTCTTTCCATCTTTTTTAGGACAATTTCAATGTCATCCTTAATTCATTAGAATTTCTAATCAGGGAATGGAAAGTTTACTTTTTAAAAGAGTAACAAGTTACAATTAGTTACCCGAATTAAAAAAGGTTGAAACGTATATATTTTACAATATTTATTTTGTTACATTCATACGAAAAATAAAGAATTTTTGTGCATCCGAATAGCTGATGTAGGCTTTGATGTAGGCTTTTTTACATTTTTCACTGATAGATTCTTTCGAGGCTTATTATATTATATATATTTGTTTAAATTACAGTTACTCTTTATCGAGTAGAAAAAGTAATTTGTTAGGGCCCTCACTTGAGAAACTAATTTTTCGTTTTTTTTCCGTTATTTATTTAAAATCGATGACCATAATCACAGCAAACAAGCCTAGGGCTTTCTATTAGTTTGAAGCGTTATGAGTGATTTGTGTCCAATCGTATGCAAAATAACGAAAAAATAAAATTCATTATTAATTTATTAAAATTCATTATTAATTTGTTATCAAAAAACCTAAGTAACTTTGTTACCGTTACAGTTACCAAAGAAAAAGTATTTATATACCAGTAAAATTACCAAAAAAGTAACTTATAACTATAACTTCGTTACAAATAATTATCAGTTACTTCCGTTCTCTGTTTCTAATTGGTACGGAAGAAACTTTTGACGACGTAAGCAATAGGCTTTTGTGGAAATTACAAGATTTTTTTTCGAGAACTAAATATAGTAAACATCGATCCCACTCCATAATTAAATGCATGCTTGATGTGCAATATCGAGTATAAATCTCAATCGAACTTTTATCTATAATATATACGTGACTTTTTTTACTTTTTTAAAAATCAAATTTGACTTATTTTTCGACACAGTCCTTTTAAAAAGTCACTGATTTATCAAACTGTCCATAATTATAATACTGCTGTATAAGAAACGCATATAGTTCTTGCGATTGGCTCCAAACTTATTTTTTAAATTTGTTTCTTATGATAAAGTTAGTAAATGATTAAAACTGCTTATAAAAAGTAGATGCGATTGTGTTTCGACGAAAGCATTTTACATACAGAAAACACGCGTCCCGAATATATGCTTCGACACACGATGACACATATCTGTGATCATGCATACATCATGGATGTGTTCAAACGTTGACGTATTTATAATACGATTGTCATTTTGCGATTGATCAAATCGCATTGAAAATGTGAGAATACAAACAATAATTGTAAATCAATAATATTGGTGATTTAATTGGATCAGTTATCTTGGAAAAACACGCAAGTTTTTTCAAATATATAAAATTACTCATAAAATAAATAATTTTATTTATGTTACACAAATAATAATATATGTAACAAGGCACCATGTTGTAAAGCAGGAAGAAAAGTATGTATATGATGTATATACGTGATAAAATGTCATGTGTGCTGTAGGAAATTGAACGATAATGCGTTAACGATAAATGTCGATTTGAGGAGATTGATGTCAAAGCTTTTGAGTGAAAAGCATTAAGAAAATTATTTTACAAACATCGAGGATTGGATATTATCCGATAAGTATGTATTCAATATGGGCAAAATTAGGATTATCACTTGGACGTCGTGGCATTAAGATACGACACAACTTATTATCACATCGCAATGTTACCAAAGAAGCTGTCGCAGAATCGGTATCTACGATATTTTTATCAGATTTTTTTTTCTTTTTTCTCTCCTGTCTCTGTCTTTTTACCTGAAATACGTTTTTTCAGAAATTCGATTTGTATCGGCTTGATAAAGGGCCGCTTCAGAAATCGGCAATAAATATAAAAGATGCTACATATGCACTGAAGACAATGAACTGTATACGTCGGATGGAGAACAGAGCTGCAGAGATATACAGAGAGCGGCTCATTAATGGCTTCTTACATTTATACGTTGGTCAGGTAGATGAGAAAAATCTAGATGGTGCAATGTGAACCAATAATTGTGCAACATATCATATCGTGAATGACAAATAAAAACGCGATATTTATAATATGTCTTAGGAAGCTATAGCTGTAGGTTTGAAAATGGCTCTAGCTGAACAAGATACTGTTATTGCATCATACAGATGCCACGCTTTCGCTGTTGTGTTCGGTGCCACGAGTCGCTCGGTTTTGGCAGAACTCATGGGTCGTAAGACAGGTCCGGCCAAGGGTAAGGGTGGCTCGATGCATATGTATGCCCCACGGTTTTACGGTGGCGACGGTATCGTCGGCGGACAGGTAAATGCACTCTCACTTTTATTATATTTTCGGCTTTTATTATTCAAATGGTTTAAATCTCATCAAGTGTCTATTAATTACTTTATTATCTTGTTACGATTAGGTACCTATCGGCACCGGTATAGCTTTGGCCCACAAGTACAATGGGACAGGTGCCGTATCCTTTACGCTGTATGGCGACGGTGCAGCTTCGCAGGGTCAAATTTATGAAGCTTGGAACATGGCGAAGCTCTGGAATCTTCCGGCAGTCTACATCTGCGAAAATAATAGATATGGTATGGGTACGGCCGTGCATCGACATTCCGCCAACACTAAGCTTTATACGCGCGGAGACCTCGTACCAGGAATAAGAGTAAATGCACATACATGATGAATTCGCATGCTCTCTCTCTTTAACGCTATTCTATAGCTCTATAGCTCTGTTCTATTATTTATAAAAACAAAAAATCAAAAACGCTCTACTGGATAAGATAATGTCTATTACATCATCCAATATCTATGCTACAATGTATACCTACACCCGAAATGTATATCCCATCGCGTATAGGTTGATGGGATGAAGATCATGGATGTACGAGAAGCCGTACGCTTTAGCAGAGATTATGCACTTAGAAACGGCCCGATTGTACTGGAAATGATAACTTATCGTTATTTTGGACACAGTATGAGTGATCCTGGTTATTCGTATCGCACTAGAGAAGAGATTAAAGCTGTGCAATCCGAGCAAGACCCAATTATGTTATTTAGCAAATTCCTCGTGGAGAAAAAGCTTATGACTGAAAAAGACATCGAAGTATACACTTGAAAATAAAACTAAAAATATTCTCAAACTTTACTGTATAATATACATATATGTATATAAATATATATATATGGGTCATTCTCCGTCAACCGATGAACCCACCTACCCAAAATTGGTTTCCATAAAAATAATCTAGTAAAGGCTTAAAATTCGTAAAAAAATAAGGGCTAACAAATGCCGTGTGCAGATTTTTACTACACAAAATGGCCGACACAATATGGCGGCCAAAAGGGAGAATTCGAATTATAACACTTTTTCATCACAAAGGAAACATTCATTTAGGGTGTTTTTGGGATCGCTGATTACGAATCCATCATCAGATTTTCAAAATTCCAAATGGCGGATTCAAAATGACAGACGAAAATCCGAAAACTTGAATTTATTTATCAATTCTCATTTGTTACAATGTTTAAAATGGCGCTGAATATGAATCCGTTTTCAAATTTTCTAAATTTGAAAAGGTGGATGAAACATACGCACACGCGTGTGTGTATAGGCATGTTCGAGCGCACATTGATGTTTTTATCACCTCACTATTTATTGCACGAACACAAGTTATTAATATATGTTATGTTTACCACGTTCAGCTTACCCCAGGACCACGGCGAGGACGTAGTGGTAAATGGTCCCATTTTTTTTTGTTTTTTCTTTATTTATTTATTTTTTTTTTTGTAATTTTTGTGACTTTTATTATTTTTTTTAAGATTATTTTCGTTTCAATCAAGCTTTGAGTATATTTTTCAATCATAATAAAAGATATAGATTCATCTATTTCCTTGTAGGATATTAGCCCTTGTACCTAATATTTTATTCAAATTATTTCTCCAACATTTCCTACTTGTTTAAAATTAATCACTTAAACTTAAACTTTGTGTTAAATTATTTGTACGCAAGGATAACGTTGTCTGCTGCC